ATTCATTGTTTTAGTGGTTCATTATCCACAACTGGTACTGATCATTGTACGTTTAATGCAAATCAAAAAGCTCTCGGTAAAGATGATTTTCGAAAAGTAAGAAGAAAAAAATTTTTTTTTTCTATTTTGAATTAATATTAATAAATATTTTCATAAGATTCCAAATGGTGTCAATGGTGTTGAAGATCGTTTAGCAGTTATTTGGACAAAAGGTGTTGAAACAGGAAAACTTGATATAAATCAATTTGTTGCTGTAACAAGTGCAAATGCAGCACGTGTATTTAATATTTATCCTAAAAAAGGTCGTATAGCTGTTGGTTCTGATGGTGATTGTATTATTTGGGATCCAGAAGCAAACAAAACTATATCAGCTTCAACACATCATCAAGCATGTGATTTTAATATTTTTGAAGGTTTACAATGTCATGGATTACCTATAGTTACTATTGTTGCTGGTAAAATTGCTTATGAAAGTGGACAAGTTTGTAGAATTTTTCTATTAAATATTTATATTCGAAAAAAAAATATATACACATTAGTTAAGTGCTATACAAGGTTCAGGAAAATATGTTGAAACTCCATGTTATGCTGAATATGTTTATCAAAGATTAAATAAACGTGAACAACTTCGTGAACAGGTGTTCTTTTTGTTTTTGTTAAAAATGAAATATTATCGTTACAATTTATTTTAGCAAATAAAACAACAAAAAATTGAACGTGAACCATATACAGGTGAAGTATTAGATATTAATAAAGCAACATCAGAAGCTGATTCAAAAACAAAACCAAAAGGGCAAGCAAATACAAGTAGTGGTGAGCCTGCTACTGCTGCTACTGCTGGTTTTCATAGCCGGCCAGCAACGCGCGCTGGTCCGTATGAAAAAGAAGAATAGGAATTTTTCATACGTTATTTTATTGTTTGGGTTTTTTCTTTATTTCCTTATTTAAGGTGGACGAAATCTTTTGGATTCGAGTTTTACACTGTCAGGTAAATATTTTTATTTGAAATAAAATTTCGAATAATAATAATAAAAAACAAAAAAAAAATGCTTAGGTGATCAATGGGATGATGGAAGTCAACGAAAGACAACTCGTGTTCATCAACCACCAGGTGGACAATCAAAAGGTATGAGAAAAACAAAGAAAGGAAATTCTTTATTTTCTTTCGATTATTTAGGATTGTGGTAAAATATTTTCCAAGTTGGTAAGACTTTTCAATTGTAGTGCATGTGGTTGATGAATATGTTATGAGAATCAAATTATCGAGTTCACTTTTTTTTTAATTTTTATTTAGTGTGGAAATTTAGAGTATATAACTGAATATTTAGTGATGATTTGCATGCATTGATTATATATATACATATGATTATCTTTCTTTTTTTGACTTTTCACATATTTTTTTCTTATAGGGATATTGAGAGCGAAACATTTTTAATTGCACTTGTGGGTTTTTTTCTCTTTGCAGTATTTTATCATCATTCCTTTGTTCTTTTTTTGTGTTTATTTCATTACGTATTTTTTGTTTCTTGTACAACTATTCACTTGATTCAATTTTGCTGCGTTTTTTTTCTTGTTGTACTAATGTGTCGATTTCATTCCATTTTTATTATTTCCGCTTTTGCTCTTTTTCTTTCTTGTGCACTAACACAAAAAGATGTATTAAGTGAAAAATCCTTTTTTTTCGTTTTTTGACTTGAAAAACATTCCCTATAATTGCGCTTTTATGAAAAAAAAAATGAAATTTAAATAGATGAAATATCCAACCTATGAAAATAAAACTCATTTCATAATAAATTGCTTAATAAGAGCGATATCAATTGGAAAACCATCTCTTTGATCTTGATGTCAATGATATTTGAGTGAGCTTCAACGAAAGAGAATAGGAGATTTCAGTAGTCAAATGTCTTGATAGCAGAATTTGACTAAATAATGAACACACTATTGTCATTTTCGAAAGAAAAGGAAAATACAATTTCTAATTCTTTATTGAATTATTGTTGAAAATTGTCATCATTTATATGAAATTGCATAACAAAGTCAAAGATTAATGTATTTACTTTTTTATTATCTTGTTCGACAAATTTACGCATATATATGTACATACAAGAATCACTACTACACATGTACAAATATTCTTCATTTGAGAGTCTAACAATGGCAATAAATCAACTAAGTTTACTTGAATATAAATTAGTTGTAATCAGTAGCAATGTCATTCGTATGTTTTGAATAATATTTATTTTTGTTTAATTTATCTACAATAATCAAATTTATGTAAAACAACATTTGTAAGATGATATTATAAAGGAAATAATGATGTTATTTTTTGATGCTGGAATTAATTGTTTAACTTTTTCAAACAAATTTTGGTTCAATTATCAGGAAACAGGAATTGTGCAGTAGACTTTTAAAAGCTCTTGTAATCCGGTCGGGCACTCGATCTGATCCGGTAATTAATGAGACCTCGACGTTTCAAGATATCTTAACTTTTGAAAACTACTAATTTATATAAAAGTATTGGAGTGAATACCGATTCGATTATGATTGGGCAATTTATCGTATATGATGATAGAGTAATTGAATACATGAAAAGAAAAATGCATTGTCAAAAAGGTAAACATGTATTATCGTGATAGAAAAAGCATTCATGTATGTATCCTGAATTACGACGGTTGGCACCAATGTTGCATTCCATTCCAGCGTCAATAGCAACAAGCAAACATATACTTAGCAAAGTTAATTGGATTTTAGAAGCATGAAAACAACACATAAATCTTAAATCACTACTTTTTTTGTGAAATTTGAAATGTTCTGTTTTTTGTTGTTGTTTATTGGAAAAAAAATAAATAGGATACTTTTCATATAATACAAAAGTTTAAAAACTATATTGTGACTGTGAAAGTACCTGCTGGATGTCGATAGTTCTGCTCTCAGTCCGATTGTGAAAAGTCATTCTCATGCAGAACACTACTTTAAACACAGTCCATATATTAATTGATGTTATTAGTACGTCCATACAGCAGCAAGTGAGGATGAGGACTGTTTTCCAAAGTGGACAAAATACTTTTCTCGTAGTTACTGAAAGTCTATGGACAAAATTCATGTCATTCTAATTAACTTCACTATTTAGAATACAGTGAATTCTGAAAAAATACGTATTGTAAATTACGAAACCACTAATGGTAATTTATTATTTATTTCCTTGTTATAGTTTTACGTGATGTTTAATTATATTGATACATGATGTGCTATGATTATTTTTGATCAAATATCACGAATAACCCATAGAAATGTTTCGAAATAATTTTCAACGAAAACTATATTTTTACTTCGAAGTTTCGAGAATTATCAATTGTTATCATCGGAAAATTACTAGAGGAAAGCACAATAAGCTATATATATATAACTTATTGTATTTTCCTCTAGTCATTTCCTGATGATGACAATTGATAATTGACGAACCCTCGAAAAAAAAAATAGATTTTTCGTTGATAATTAATAATGTTTTTTATTGCAATACTTTACTCAATAATAAATCCTAGTGAGATTTTATTTGAATATGTAAAAATATTTCGATTGATTTATGTGATAATAATGTTGATGCAGTACATTCAAAATTTAAACCTCAACTTATAGCATATTATCGAAAAACAAATGAAATTCTATGATATTATATTTCGGTGTGCTGGAAAAATGTCGAAAAAAGAAAAAAACAAAGAAAAAACATCGAAAGGAAAAATATCGAAAGGAAAAATACCGAAAGGAAAAATATCGAAAGGAAAAATGTCGAAAGGAAAAATGTCGAAACGTACATNTAGGAATGACATTATACAAATAAGATATCTAAAACAGAATAGTTTTTGCTTTCTATTTTAACTGTCATCAAATATTGGCATTGTTGTTTCATTAGAAATTATTAGCTGCTCAAGCAAAAGCTCTCTCAGTGATTTGACTATGTTATTTGAATACAACAGATGTCATATAGAAAGATTTAACGATAATGAGTTTCCACTTGAAACTGTTTTTTGAAAACAATTTCTCATGATATGGTAGATTAATATTGTAAATAATTAATCCTTTGACATTTAAGTGCAAAAAGATCTTTTAATGAAAAAATATCATATGTGAGATCAGTAAAAAAATAACATCATTATGTTGAAAACGATGTAAGATTATAGGAAACACGGAAGATGATATTAAAGGGTAATTTGATTCTTCGGAAGAATTTTTAAAAACAAAAGAATGCGCATACGAAGAAAAAGATTAACACTTATTTTATCGTCACTAAAATCATACTGATCCCAAGTAAATTTGTAAAGTAAACCATCGTCAATTGATCATGTTTCATAAATCATATCATCATTCATCTGATAAATATGTAAAATAATGTAGTTGTATCTACTATAAGTGAGTCAATGCACTCAATTCGAAGTGTTACTTGATCATTTCTACAAAGGATTAATATGGTTTTTCAATGTCTAACATTGACAATAAAGTCATTGTCGTTGATCAATGCATTTTCTCTGAAATTCTTCATCTCGTTTATTATGTCGGAAAAGTTTTACTTATGTCTTCTCGTGAAAAGAACTTTCTCCAGTCGAAACAAACGTCACAATTGAAATGATTGACATCGCTTGAGAAATCTGAATTAAATTTATTTTCCATCAATTCCTCCAAGATGATCGATACCAATTAATGACAAAAATCGTCTTATCTTTTCAGTGTGAACGAATCAATCGAGAAAAGAACAAACTTACTATTGTCATCAGAAGATCGATTCAATTGTTGATGAAAAATCTCGTTTAGAGAAGAATTTCATTAAACATAAAGTCAGACACGAAAAGCATTTGAATGAATGTATCGATCTGGACGAGTCACTGTTGAATAATAGAATTTTGTTGTTTCATCAACTAGACTTTTATTTAGTTTTTATTCACAGAAAAAAAAATTGACAATGACAAACTAACAACAGCAAAAAGAAATATTAGATACAATTATTTCTACCAAGCTGAACCAGTATTAGCCAAACGACGAATACGTCTAAGAAAAAGTTTCAAAAAAATAAATAAATTTTCTTTTTTCTATATGATAAATTTTTACCTTGTATTACGATCTTGATCACGAATCTTTTTATCCATTTCGGCATCTGTAAGAGTTTCTAAAAATGGGCAATATTGTTCAGCATCATGATTTGTTCGCGTAGCAACATCAACGGTTGGCATTGGTGTTTCGCTATAACATAAATAAATTTATAAAAATTCGTAGATTTTTATTTTTTACCTATAGGAAAAGGTTTTATGATGCCAACTAAGTTGTCCACGAATACTGTATGCTATTGCTGTGACAAATTCACCACCAAGTCCTATATATATATACATATATATTTTCATATATTGGTTGTTTTGAAAATTCTTACCTAATTCAGATGCTAATACACGAGCAAATTCTTCTGGACTATTCTGTTTATCGGACATGTCCCATTCGAATTGATCGACTAAACTTACGTTTCCAACATGAATATTCAACTAAAAACAAAAGTATAAAAGACAAATCATATGAAGTCTTTTACAAAAACAAATGGAAAAAGATATCTCATAATCTTGGGGCGACTGTGCAATTTTCAGTTAAAAAATCCATTGGCAGTATCAAAATACGATTTGATAGGGTCGGGATCTGAAAATTTTCGCATCCCATGGGCTCTATGGACCGGTTCTGTCATTACTGGCCTGCCTTATGTATTTCCCTGCTCTGATCATCGCATAGACGATGTGTAATGAACCTTTGTTGAAAGTAGATTACGTCAAATATCGCTATTCACAAGTTGAATAGTACGATAATGAGAAGAACAATATCATAACAATGAAATATATTGACAGCAATAAACAAATAGAATTTGACACATGAAAATGTTCCTCTCGTTAGTCTTATTACTTTAATTGTAATTCGTTGATCACTATTATCTTCTAAAACATCATTATGATGTGATTCCAATTGTTGTCTTATGGCTTGTGCAATAGCAGGTACAAATGCCATTGTATTCAGATCTAGATCATCACAAAGAATTTCGGCAAACATTTCTGGTGTAATTAATTGTTCTATATAAAAATGCAAAAAAAAATTGCGTCGTATTTTGTTTTTTTTTTCTTGTATTCACCATTTTTATTCCATGTAAATGTATCTCGTAATTTTTGTCCTTCAATTTCCATATCAAGTCGAATCGGAACAAGATCTTCAGATTGTTGAGAATTTTCAAGTGCTGATGATGTATCCGTATAATCAAAACTATATATACATATGTAGATAAAACAATTAAGTAATGAAAAAAAAAAATTCATACCATAAAGGAAAAGTTTTTTTCTTTGTTGCTGTTCGATTTCGATTAATTGGTGTTGCTGCTGGTACAGCATCAAGATGATGAGAATTAGTTGGAAAAGTTGGCAACCATGCTGATCGTTTAGATTTATCTCTAAGAATTATTTTCAAATAAATAAAAATATGACAAAAGAAAAAAAAAACATTTCTTACCCTCGTGTTGTTGATGATTCACTATTTAATGTTAATGCTCGATATTTTTCATCATCACCATTTAATATTTCATCAACTTCAGTTGCACGTAATAATGTCAAATTTGTTGGTAACGATGATTCTGAACAACCTAATTCAATTAACCATTTTCGTTCTTCTAATGAAATCATACGACGCCATAATGATGGATATTTTTTATAAAGTGTTCCACGAAATAAACGTAAATAATTACCAACCTATAAATAATGATAATATTCAATAGATAGATAATATAAATAATAACTTACTTCTGATCCAATATACATTTTTTCTTGATTACCAGGAAATTGAAATGGTACTGGACGTTCACCATATGTTTTTAATAATGGACTTGGTGTTGTTGATGATTTCTTGGCTGATGCCATGTTAGAATCTGTCTAAATAAACACAGTTATGAATTATATATAAAACATTGATTTACGTTTTAGATATATACCTCTAACATACGAGACTAGTCAAATTTCAAATAAAAATATCAATTATTATAGTATTGAGTTATATTCAAATCGATCGGCTGAGTTCAATATATACACATGCACAAAGACGTCAATGGACAAGTATTTTTTCATTGGATAAAGATTGCTAATAAAAAAGCTAAATATGTAGATGTCGCTATTTTATCGTTTCAGATTTTCAATTAATGATAGATTAACAAAGGAGATTTTAGTTTATAGAAAAATTGACTTATGAAAAGCTCATACATTTTCAAACTTCCATAAATTACTAAGGATAAGTCAATTATTTAGAAAAAAAAAACATTTTCAAATAAAATTAGTCCCATGTTTGGATAAACTGAAGTCTATCTTTGATTCAGGTATCATAGTCTATGATGTAGTATCCATCAACCAGGTCAGACACTTGATCAGGAGCATCCGTTCTGGTGCTAATTTGCCGGGTCCCGGGTATGTAGAATTTGGAGACTTCAAAATTTACCCGCAATCGAAACTACGGTTAACATGCTAGCTACTACAAATGTTAAACAAGAGGCCTCGATTCAGTTCTCAAAATATCATCTGGGGCCGAAACTATTAAATCAATAGATAGGTATGAAAATTTAAATATACGTAGTTATCAGTTCTTGAAAAGTTTTAAGCTGAAGATACCACATACCTCATTATATAAACAAATTATGAAACTGAATAAGAAATAGCGATTTTAAATAGTTTCGATCACTGTAAAAAACATAATGCTATCCCAGAAGAATTTTTTTTTATTAAATGGGTGGTCCATGGTCTGTTGCTCCTGTAGTTGAATCGGGCTGAGTTGAAAATTTTTTGAAGACCAAATTATAGGTTAGACCAATCAAGAGCGAACTCGTGAATCAGTGTTTTTTGCTCCAGCCCAGTCCATTCGGAGTTCTGATATGAAACTATCTCAGGAGATAAAGTTGACATTTATGACTAGTTATGTTTGCACCAATGAGGTTTGATAAGGATAAGGATAAAGGTAATAATTTATTTCACTGATAAATAATGATATGATGACGACAAGTCTCGGTTTCTGTAGTGTAGTTTCTTCTTTGTCATTTGATTAGTCATAATCTATGCATTAATACAAATGTATTATTATTTTCTTCATCGATTCAACAACTTATCGTATTGCATTATTTCTTTTACAATAACGAAGACATTTCACGATATAATACTACATAATTAATGAATCAAAATCGTGTTTTCTTTTGTTTTAAATACACTTCGATTTTTATCAGTGATGAACGAAAGATGAAGTACAGAAAAAATAAAATTCTATAGGTAGACATGAATTTCTAGAATTGCCTGTTGTATCTTTCGTTCTGTTCGATAAGCATAGAAAAAAATTTGAAATCGAAAAGAACGAAAGATAAAACAAGCGATTCTATAGAATTATGACTGTTTTACTGAGTTGTCGATCCAGCTTTAGGTTTTTACCAAAAAACCAAAGAACAGTAATGTGATCCGAAATTTCGTTCATAAACAGATCAAATAACTAGTAGTAGAGTATTCTGCAAGCTTCAGTCAAGAAGAGTGTTCCCTTGTCAAAATATTGAATTTCGAAAAAACGGTCATTTGTCACAACAATCGAGTTGACTTGAACAGTGAATATCTCGACAAAAGAATATTCTACTAGTCATTCGACCTGTTTTTGAGCGAAATTTCAGATCAAGAATTCAGTAAAGTGATCATAACTCGGCTCAAGAAGCCCATGGGTATCAAATCTTTTATGTATTTTCTATTCTTACCGAGACCTTCTTGTTAACCCAACATGAGCTCAAACGACAGATACCAGTTCAAGTAGTTCCCTAGCAAGAAGAAAAATGATATTACCAAAAAATGCATATAAAGTTATATTTTTCTATATTATAAGAAATACAAAAAATGTTAATCAATTGCATTGAATTAATAATTTCTTCTCGAAATTCAAATTAGAAGTACTTATGTATTAGTGATTCAAATCAAGAGAAAATAAATTTTGTTTAAATGTGTATTTCGTTGCTTTTTTTTTGCCTACACATAAACCATGAACAAAAAAAGAAAGAAAGAGAGAGCGACACCCTAAAAATTCTATTAAATACTGTTCACGGGAAAAAAAACTGATTCAATTAACTGCATGCAGCAATAAAAATATTGAAGATTGCAAGAATGAATACAAGACATATAACACAATTGTCTATATAATCAAGTTTATGTTGTTTGTATTGATCATTTACATCGATTCGCATTACATACATTAGAACCACGCCTAGAAGAAAAAAGGTAAATCAGAACTAAAATATTAAGAAGACGAAGAAAAAAGAAAAAGTCAAAATACAATTTATATTAATACTATGGATAAAACTACTGAAATGTATGAGAGTTTATATTATTTTTTTCTTAAAATGTAAACATTATAATTAAAAAAGTAATATCAAATAAAAATAGAATAATAGTTAAAATAGCTGGAAGTATAATAAAAAGTTGATCATAACGTGTTAAAGTCGGCATTGATGATGATGATGATGACGACGATGATGATGATAATAATAATGGCAGATGATCGAGCCGTGTGAACAGAAATGTATACAATTGAGCAAAGCCTAGAATCCGGCAAGGGAAGGTAGTAACAACTACTAGTTGTTTGATGAAACGAGCGAGAGAAAAAAAAACATTCAACTGTCTCGAACTTTCAGGAAAGAGAAAAAAAAACACAATAGTTTAAACTTACCAATACAAGCACACATGAGTACAGATATAATACCAAGTGCGACTTGTGTACCATAGAATGTATGTGAATGACCTTGTTGGAGAACATGTTTTAATTGTACACTGTTACTCATGATGATTATCTAAGATAATAAAAAACAAATAGATTTTTCTTATATTTAAATTGTAAAAAGTTGGTAATAATAAAAATTATTTTTCTAATTATAAAAATAAAAACTCTGTATTTGTTATAGTACAAACAAAAATAATCATTTCATAATCATCAATAGTATCATATATATTATATCGATGCAATTCAATTGCATCATATTTAAGGCTAATACTTAAATAACGTTAATGACTGTTAATATCAAGATCGTGACATAAACAAAATACGTGTCTATTACTTAGACTACTTCAAAACTTTATACAGTCTGACTTGATTTCTTACCAGTAGACACATTATAGTCATTGCTGTTTTTTTCATTGAATAAAATCGAGCATCTAATAAGACTGCAGGTGGTTGCTAAAAGAAAAAGATATATAATAATTCATAATAATTTAATCTTATTCTTACACTTTTGTCTTGAGCACGTAATGCTGAAGGTATATAGCGTTTAACATCAAATCGTTGTCGTCCAGACTCGGATTCACCACGTTCTCGATCAATCATTGCAGACTAGATAGAAATATAATTAATAATATAAAATATATGTTTTCATGCACAATCAATATAAAAGACTAATATAGAAAGCATAATAACTAAACTTACTTGTGCTAATTCAATGCCGTGTTGATCTTCTAAGGACATTGTTTTTTTCTCTTTTTTTGCTATATAGATGAAGTGTACGGAAGAAGAAAATCGTTGTCAATGTCTTCTATCTATATATTCGACCAACATTAATTAGAAAAAAAATAAAAATATCACCTTCATTTTTGTCTTTTTTTCTCAATCGTAACTGCTTTACAAATAATAAACTAACCGCAAATAATAAACTCATTTTTTTTGTGATATCAATGTCTCATTTGTTGGGAAACTTCGTCTTTCTTATATACTAACTTGATTATCCTTTGTGATCAATCACAATATCCTATATCGGTGTAATACACAATAAGAAAGAAAACAACCTCAGTCTCATAAAAAAAATGAGACGGGAAAAAAATATATGTATGTGCAAATGTGCGCCATTCGCGAAGGGCAATCAGCAGAAAAAAACCGAGAGAAAAGAAAAATACGTTGTGTATGTAGATGGTTTGGCGTTTTTTTTTCATATATGTGTACTAGAAAGTGGTATGAAGCCGTATCATGAAAATAAAATATCTTTTAAAGTGTACTGCCTACATGTGCTTCAAATACATGTTGTTTCATGGTCGCGCTCCAACGAGATACGCGTTTTGCTATCTACCTATTTTGCTCTTTCGCTTCGTCTCTCTTTTTCTTTTTTTGCATATCATATCCGAAACATAAAAGAACAATAAATGATTCACGAAGAAGCTTTCTAAACATTAATATTATAACCCATCATTGAGGTCTTATTTTTGCTTTAAGATACAAGGAAAAATGAGAATCGTAAAAAATCAAACTACTATAGACCTTTCACAATCGACACAAGGAATTAGAGAAAAAAAACACAATCACATTTAAGATTTTATCTCGTCTTTTTATTTTTAATTGAATCAAAAATTTTTGATAAGATTTTTTGAATAGTTTTCTACCCTGGATAATGGTTTTTTTATTTCTTTTTTCTCCAGCTGGTGTATGGTTGTGTTTAATAGCATTGATGCTTGACGAAAAATACATTTTTTTCTTTTCAATGTAAATACAACACTTACTGAATATTTGCTTTGCCTCTCAGGCGTTTCGACTTCTATTGTTGGTGGGTGAGAAATAGTAACTGGCTGTGTTGAAAGTTTAATTGATTCTGTTGTTGAATGTTGATCGTTTGAATTCGTTCGCAAGGATCGTACGTGTGAAGAATCCCGATCTGCAAAGAATGAATAATTATCGGGATATAATGTATCAGGATAATAGATCTTGGTTAAGAGTTCAGATTGAACTGAACGCTGATTTGTCATTGCTTGTTGGTTTTGATCCTCATCGTTTATTGATTGATTGCTCATGTTATTGAACGAATATAATATGTCAATTTAAGCGAAAGGAGAAAAACACGTACACGTGATGATGATGGTTATTAACCAAAAAACGAAAAAACAAATATTGACATGTGCGAAGGTATACACTAAGTAGTTATAACACTAGTGAAAAAAAAACGAATGCCAAAAAAAAAGTCGACTTTGCTCTCTTTCTTGTGGTTTTTTTTTCTTTCTCTTTATCCTCAATAGATGTATTACATGATGTCAGAATGCATATATGTTTCACTTACAATCTACTGTACTTCCAGAAATCATGTTTACTATATCATTCTCCTTGCCTATTGATACAATTACTATTTAAATCAAGGTCATTTCGAAATGCATACAAAAAAAATCAATTCAATAAATTTATATTGAAAATTTTCAATTATAGACAATAATAAAAGAGACAAATAATCTTATGCAAAGGTTAAAATCGATTAGTATCTGTTTATGAAGTAAATATAACTGTATTGTCAAATAGATTTGTGCACTGATATCAGGATTGACATATACAGTACTGAATGTTTTCTTATCTAAAGCAAAAATACCCATGAATTAGAGCTTGAATATGTCATCCAAAGAATGGTTTATTCGGCTTTATGCAAAACAATATATTCACGGTTAAGTAGTATGATGATGATAATTTCTCTAAAATAACTCAAATAACATAGAAAAAAAAGAAAAATAAATAGAATAGTGCTATGCTACATTAGTGTATGACGACGGGTGTTGTTTATCTCATACTGGAAAAAATGATGTCGCACGAATAATTCACATAACAAAAAAAAAATGAATCGTACAAGCAAATGAGACAAATATGAGTATGATTAGTCTACATGGGTTTACATACTATTATCAAGATTGATATGGTATTATGTTAATGTTATTTTCTCATGCACATCTTGATTGACATATGCGACAATCAGTCCATCTGTCTGTTGATCTTTTCATAGTTCTAAAGAAACAGTAATCTTCCATATGATGAAAACTAGACAAAAAAAACTGACATCTTATCACAGTTTTATCGGTTCAGTTACCGCTCCCGTTTACCACAATCAACTACCGATATTTGTCGGTTAACTGCGGTTTAACAGTAATTGTTTTAGATAAAACCGGTTGCTTTTGCTTGATATCGAACTTGAAGAAATTGCGTATTTTTCAGAAAATTTTTCAACTCTTAGTTTCACATGCAACAGATAATATCGACTCGCTGAAATTGTTTGACGCCTTAACACAACATTGAAATATCGGCTAAGACAGATCCAATTCAAAACTTATTGCAAATGTTCGATTGGTTACAAATGGCGAATCAGTTCTTCTCTAACAAGGTCCTGTCCATTCAGAACGAAAGATACATGTAAGATAAATATAATCTTAACTGCCGAGTTTTTATTATCTTAGACATCATATCCAAGGACGGTATCAACAACAATTTCCACATATATATATATATTTGTAATGATATCTATTTTTGTTTTAGTTTTTGTAATAATATCGCTACTAAATGAACTCAGATATCTTTAATCTTTAAAAAGCGATAAATGGTTTTCTTCACAGTTAATGCAGAATTTTGCTGACTTTGTGTGTGACTTACCCGTCATTGTAAGCGGTTAATCCTCATTTTTTTTACACATATCGTGGTTTATCACTAAAACAAATCAAGTATTTACGACGTAGGCTTGTTATTTTATTCTGAATATAAAAATCTTGATTTCGTTTGTTCATTAAAGCAATAAGAATGTTATTAGAAAAATTAGAAACGATCTATGCCTACTGATATTACAAAACACAAATAAACAAAATCAAGTAATCAAACTATGTGCATTATTGCACATCAAATCGGTGAAAAAGAGTTAGTTTTCAAAACTAACCAGAAATGAAAGCAATTTTTAATGAATCTCTGATTTAGCACGTGAAAGAAGTTCACGAGAAATAATTAAGCGTTGAATTTGTGCTGTTCCTTCATAAATCTATTTACAAAAAAAAATACATATTAAAATTAATTTAACTTAATTAAGAAAATCGTTACTTGAAAGATTTTAGCATCTCGCATAAGTTTTTCAACAGGATATTCACTATTAAATCCATTTCCACCAAATATCTAAACAAAAACCAAAACATTTATATCAAATTAATTTTTATTATTCATTTTTCCTACTTGTACAGCATCTGCTGCAGCTTTATTAGCAACATCAGCTGCTAATGCTTTAGCAATTGACGCAAAATATGTATTTTTTTCACCTTTATCAGTTTGCCATGCAGCCAGATGTGTAACTAAACGAGATGATTCAATACCAATAGCCATTTCAGCAAGCATAAATGCTACAGCTTGATGTTCAGAAATAAGTTTGCCCATAGTTTTACGTTGTAAGGAATATTGTGTAGCTTCATCAAATGCACGACGAGCAAGACCAATAGCACCAGCAGCAACAGGTGGTCGTGTTTTATCAAATACTAACATTGCAACCTTAAAACCTTCACCTTCTTTGCCAAGAGCATTAGCGACTGGTACACGCATATCTTCAAATGTAATACCTCGTGTATCAGAAGCTCGTTGACCCATATTCCATTCCTTAAATGATTGAGATTATTTACGTTTTTTTCTTTTAATGAGTAAAAAATTTACTTTTCGTCCTCGTATCAAACCTGGATTATCACCTTCAATAGCAAATGCAGTAAAAGCTTTACTAGCTGGTGCTTTTGGATCTGGATTAGTACGAGCCAAAAGAAAAAACCAATTAGCTACACCTAAATAGTCATATTTTTTGTTATTAATAATTTTTAAATAAAATCTTCTTATTTAATATTTACCTCCGTTAGTAATCCACATTTTTTGCTAAACGTAGAAATGAATATAATAAAACAAAGAACAATATTTGATTTCACACATACTCCATTAACAATATATTCATCGCCTTTTTTTTCTGCACGCGTTTTTATACCAGCAACATCGGAACCAGCAACTGGTTCTGTTACACAATATCCCTAAAATGTATCATAGAGTAGAAAAACAAAATCATAAATTAAAATAGATAAATACATACGCACATCAATGGTTCATCAATCATTCGTCCTAGAAATCGTTTCTTTTGTTCATCATTACCGGCAAAAATAACTGGAGCCATCTAAATATATAAAAATTAATTTATATTTTCAATCAATTAATATTATTTTTACTCCAAGTGAATTAGCTTCAACGGCTGTTTCGATTCCAGTGCAACTATATTCAAAGTGTGTCAATTAGAAAAAATCATTGATTATGATTTTATTTACCCATATGCTAATTCTTCAGCAATAATACATGAATCAAGAACACCAAGACCCAAACCACCTAAATAAACAAATAAAAATCTTTGTAGGCAATATAAAAACAAACAAACCATATTTTGTTGGAATATGTGAATTCATAAGACCAAGTGCATGAGCTTTTTTCACAACTGGCCATGGATACTAAAACAAGAAATTTATGCCAGATAAACTCAATGCTAGTAGAGCTGCAGTCAATCAATGAAATTTTCAAGCATATATCCAATCAACAATGAGATCCAACAAAAATTAATTTATATGTAAATAAAGAGTAATTTCCACCCAACTATTTCTATAGGAGTTTCGACTGCTTAGGATGATATTTTAAATGACATGATCTCTTTTAATAATAGTGACATAAACAGAAGA